GTGGCCTGAAATAGCCAAGGAGACCTCCAGGTCCCGCTACGAAGGGAAACATTTCCCCCAAGCAGCGCGGACAAAGAGGCAACTCCTTCCGGTCTTCCCGGAGATGTTGGATGAGGTGTCGGTCTCGTGGAGAGACCGGCCCTTCAGCAACAAGGTCCCAATCCAGGGTGCCTCCTCCCTAGACTGTGACGGAATGGAGAAGCTCGGCCTGCTCCGCATACCGCCCATGGAACTGCTGGTAGCAGCCCACCTCCTACCGAGGATGGGCCCGTCACCAAGCAGGAACCCCACGATGCCGGCAAAGTCGGACCGATTTCAGTCGACAATGACTGAACGGTCCTACAAAGCCGCAGCGTTGTCCGCCAGGGCCCTGAATGTGGCCTCGCTGCTAACCGCTTACCAAGCGGAGCTCTGCGAGGACCTGTCGGGTAACCCGGGGGCAGCCACTCTGGACGAGATGGCGGCGGTCACAGACATCTGTCTCCGTGTACAACGCTGCGCCGTCCAGGCCACAGGTAAGGCAATGGGGATCATGGTGGTGCAGGAAAGAGCGAGATGGCTCAACCTCACCAACCTCACAGACCGGGAAAAGGAGGATGTGCTGGATATGCCCATCGTTCCCGAGGGAATTTTCGGCTCTGCTCTTGCTTCCATGCAAAAGAGGTGTGAGTCGAAAAAGAGGGAGGACGAGGCACTCCACCTCTGCCTCCCTCGAAGGGTCCAGCCGCTGCCTTCGCAGCAGCAGTCCTTCGCAGCAGCAGTCCTTCGCCCAAGCTGCCTTGAACCCTGCTCGGTTTAAAACACCGAGAACGCAGAGGTCGCAGCCCGCCCCGAGTCCCCAGCCCAGGCTGGAGACGAGGGCGAGCTGGCCCAGAAAATCTCCTCCGGTTCCGGCTGCAGCTCAGGCGCAGCCAACCCAGAATTTCGGCCAGCAGGCGAGGAAGAAGAAGCGAGCGGCGTGACAGCCCCTCCTTCTCCCCTCCGTGACAGAGCTGGAAGTCCACGGTTCCCCAGCTCTATATGTGTTCCCGCCGCCTCGAGAGATGCCTCAACACCATCCTCAAGTCCGCAAAAACACATGTCACAAATCTGTTTGTTCCTCTGTCATTAAACATTTGCTGCTGACGCATCCAGGTTTCAGGCCGAGGGCGCAGCTCAAAAAAAAAAAAAAATTAAAAGAAAAACAATAAAACCAATAAACAGCCCGTCAACTGTTCCCCTTCTGAGAGCAGCTTCGGCATCTCTCAAAAGGCGGATTACAGGCGGGTCTGTGAAGGCACCACCGTCACGCGCATGCGCAGTGCCGGCTGGGGTTTTAAAAGCACCACCGCCACGCGCATGCGCAGTGCCGGCTTGGGTTGTGAAGGCACTACCGTCATGCGCATGCGCAGTGTCGGTGGGGATTGTCGAAAGGGGGCACCACTGTGTTCAGACACTAGAGGGCCCCATAACACAACAAATAGAGACTCAGAGGGGAAGAGATGTGACATCTCCACTGGCTCTAAGGAGCATGCAGTCGAAGATGCTCACATCATCTGCTTGGGTTTTCAAGACAGTAACACGGGGCTACAGACTCCAATTCGCTGTCACCCCCCCTCGCTTCTCGGGCATTCTGCATTCGCAGGCCCGAGGAGAGTCAGCCCATATTCTGGAGAAAGAGATTCTCTCTCTCCTAGAAAAGAGGGCTATATCTATTGTACCCGCCGAGCAGAGTCAGGGCGGCTTCTATTCCAAGTACTTCCTCGTTCCCAAACGGGGAGGGAACGGAATTCGGCCAATACTTGATTTGAGGGCTCTGAACAAATATCTAAGAAGATATAAGTTCAGAATGCTCACTCACACATCTCTGCTGCGGCTCGTGCGACAAGACGACTGGTTCACATCAGTCGACCTGAAAGATGCGTATATTCACATCCCAGTATATTACCCACACAGGAAATATCTGAGATTCGCATTTCAGGGGATCTGTTATGAATACAGAGTACTCCCCTTCGGTCTGTCTCTCAGTCCAAGGGTGTTTGTACGATGTACGGAAGCCGCGATAGCCCCGTTAAGACAACAGGGTATTCGCCTGGCGACCTACCTGGACGACTGGCTGCTTCTCGCACAGTCGGAGCAGGAGGCTGTTACGCAGACAAATGTCCTCGTAAAGCACCTGCTCAACCTGGGTTTCATAATAAACACAGAGAAGAGCATGTTGTGCCCCGCGCAGACTAGTATACTCTTCCTGGGTTTACGCCTGAACTCGGTGCCCTTTTCAGCTCGCTTGTCAGCGGATAGAGTGAAAGCTTTCAGAGCTTGTCTCGCTCTTTTCCGGCTGCGCAAACATGTTCTCTTCAGATCATGCCTGCGATTGCTGGGGCTCATGGCGTCAGCCATCCTGGTCGTACGACTGGGACGCTTACACATGAGGGAGTTTCAGCGCTGGGTGGCCGCCCTAAAACTAAACATGGCGCGCGGAGAGTGATGGTTACTGTGAAATGCGTAATGGCACTGCGCCACTGGCTGCACCCGACTTTTCTAGTACGAGGTGTGCCTATGGGTGCTGTCCTTTCACGGAAAGTGGTCACCACGGACGCATGTCTGACAGGTTGGGGAGGTATTTATGAAGGTCGCCCGGTGAGGGGTCTCTGGAGCAGAGACCTCCAGCGGGCGCACATAAATTACCTGGAGCTTTTAGCGGTGTTTCTCACCCTAAAACGCTTTCTGCCTTTCCTCAGGGGACATCACGTCCTCGTGAGGACAGACAATACGACCACAATATCGTATATTAACCGCCAAGGGGGTTTGCGTTCTCTCCAGTTACACACACTGGTGCGCAAACTTATCCTATGGAGCGGTAGGCGGCTCCTCTCTCTGAGAGCGACGCACGTACCGGGAGTGAGGAACCTCGGGGCAGATCTACTGTCCAGAGGTATACCACTTTATGCAGACTGGACTCTACATCCAAGGATTGTGAGCCAGCTGTGGGTGCGTTACGGCAGAGCCGCGGTGGATCTGTTTGCATCGAAAGACAACGCTCAGTGTCAGCTGTTCTTTTCGATGCGCGATCTAAATGCACCGTTAGGCGTGGATGCACTCGCGCACAATTGGCCCCCGGGCCTTCTGTACGCGTTCCCACCCCTGGCTCTGATACCCCCAACTCTGGCCAGAGTGAGAGAGCAACGCCACACACTTATCCTGATAGCTCCGCACTGGCCAGCTATGTAGTGGCTAGTGGAGATATATCAGCTGCTGTGCGGGCAGCCATGGCAGCTCCCACTACGCAGGGACATACTGTCCCAAGCGGGGGGGGCGATCTTTCACCCACACCCAGAGCGCTTGGCTCTATGGGCCTGGCCCGTGAGTGGTACAATCTAAATACAGTGTGACATGACGCTGACCCTGGCAGCTGCCAAGCGAGCCAGTGGCACTCATGCACTATCTGTACAGTTTTCATGCACTCAGTTTGCCCCAGGGCAAACAGAGTGTGGTTGAAGCCTGACCCTGCCTTTATCTTAAGGCGGTCGGTTCGGGTACCACATTTGACATTAAGGCATCCTCCCCGCCACTGTATTCCTCCGGGGAACAGCGGCCGGATTTGCCGTGTCCAGCCCGTGCTTCACGCATGTACAGGGACAGATCAAGGGTGCTTTGTCATAATGACCAACCCCTTGTGTCCTGGGCTAACCCTTATAAGGGCAAGCCTGTTACTAAGCAACGGCTCTCCCACTGGTCTGTGGAAGCAATTGCTTTGGGGCTCATACGAGTCAGAGTTCGCAGGCACCCTCGGGTCCGCGAGCTCTTTCGACTCAGAGTCTGGCTGCATTCTGGACTCTGTCCAGGATGTCTCCCATCAAAGACATTGGTGCAGCGGCGAGCTGGTCCTCGCCGCTCACTTTTGTCTGCCTCCTAACAGGTTGGACGTTCTTCTCCCAGTGTGACTCAAGCAGTGCTGGGCACCTGGTTGAGTCAGAGCTCTACCTGTTAAGTTCTGGTTGGTTTGGTGATTTTCGAGATAAGCTCGTCTGGCAATACGGGAGCTACAATTTCCCATAGTGAGACATCGAACGGAGTGTTATGAATGAGAACTATAGGTTACTTACGTAACCCCAGTTCTCAGAGTAACATGAAGTGAGATGTCTCACCAGATGGCCCTCCTTGCTATGGTGAAGCGAGAAGAGGTGCTTATTTTGAATTGCGCATGCGTTGTGGCGCAAGCTACTTATAGGGGGTGATTTCCCTGACGCTGACGTCAAGATCTCCAGCCAATCAGGATTGGCGTAATGAGATTGATGCTTCTGTTTGCTCCGCGATGAGGCGCATCCCATAGTGAGACATCTCACTTCATGTTACTCTGAGAACTGGGGTTACGTAAGTAACCTATAGTTCACAACTGCAACCTACTATTAACAACGAGCTTTTGAGTTGACACACATGAATCACACACGTGAAATATTGTGGGAATAGAAAACTGGCAACGTCAGAGGCTACTTAGGATCAAACAGGAAACACATCATATTGTGTATTTTGCTGTGAAAATAAGGTTGTTTTATCTATATTTGCTGCTCTTGTGTTCGACTGCAGACCAGTACAGAGGTTAGGCGTATGCCTATGGATTGGCAGCACCGACCCTGAACTGCCTTACTTTGTATTAAAGATGGATGGTTGGATATTTTAACTTAAATCTTGGAAAGGAGGTTTTATTTGCCTTCAGATTGAATGCGGTAGCTTTCATATTTCACCTATTTTATTTGCTTGCTGATTCATGTTCAAGGTCACAGGGCCAATCCAAGCGTAGAAGGCAGAAAAACACCATGCACAGCTTGCAAACAGTGTGCTATAACCAAGAAAAAGTCTCCTAATGTATTTCATCTAACAGCACCCGATTCAGTCTTGCTTCCTTTGAAAAGTACTTTTAGGGTCTGATGAGAGAGGCCTACTCCCAATGTGAGAAAGAAGACAAAATGTCATATTCTGCCTGAATAACTTTTATTTTATCTGGTCTCCTCTTTTGACAGACGCATTATGGAGATGGAGAGTACATCATCAGACAGGGGGCCAGAGGAGACACCTTCTTCATCATCAGTAAGGGAAAGGTGAGCAGTGCCTCCAGCCGACCATCAAAAAAATCCTCACGCTACGCAATGGAGGGCAAAACTGACAAAATATACATATTTCAAGCAAAGTGGTAGTATTTTGGGTAGAAGTTGGCTGCCATCAATCATCTTGAGATAGAGGAGAAGCTGCCTCTGTCAGCATCTCTTGCAGATGCTCTGGGAGTATCTAGAAAGGAGAATGGAGTGACTTTAATTTCACCTCTGTCTCCACACTGGCTTTCACACCGAGAACAGATGACAAGAAGTCCAGTACAGCATTAACACATTTGATGTGCTTTCATGTGCTTATCATGTTTTTTGGTGCTGCTTCTTTTCCTTTTCATATGTCTCCTTCAACATTTTCTAAAGCCTTTTTCTGTTTCTCCTTCCATTCTTAGTGTTTTTCTCGCACACCCTCCACTACCCCTTCTTCCTCTATATCGTTATGTTTATGTGTAGACAACATAATTATCAGTGTTAGAGGTCATCTCAAATACATTTATAATCAAAGTCTGCGTATGAAAGATGATGGTGTGCCTTGATGGGTCAAAGAAAACAGAGGACTTTCACCCAGAAGACTGGTCGCTAAGAAGACACACACACACACACACACACACACACACACACACACACACACACACGCATGCACGCACGCACGCACGCACACACACACACACACACACACACACACACACACACACACACACACACACACACACACACACACACACACACACACACACACACACACACACACACTCACACTCTTCTGACCTTACTGTATCAATGCTTTAAACTTAGATGTGTCAACATCTCTCACTTTGTCTCCATCTAGACCACGGATGGAATGCTCTGTCTAGAGGACATTCCAACTAATGTTGGCATCTAACAACACACACTCTGCCCTTTATCCTATACGTCCCTCTGCTTCTCTTTCTTCAGTGTTTCGCCCTGGATAATACATGATCACATTAGATTAGATGAATAACTATGCTGTCACTTAGGTGTTGGCAGCATTACATTATGGACAAAGTGGTCACGCTGCTTCACCTGTGCAGAACTGACAAATGGATGAAGACAACATCCTTCATTAGGCGAAACGACCGTCTCCATTCACTTCCGCCAAAAACCACCCAAATGTCATCCCTTTGATTTGTAAAGTCTACCGCCATAGCACAGTGCCATCACTCACATGTCATCTGGCTAATGAAGTGGTCAGCACTCGTCCCAGTTCCTTGCAGAGATAGCGGTCACCTACTTGTAACAGACTACTGAGGCACAAAGACTTCTGTCACACCAGCTACTCTTCACTGACTGTAATTGTGTAAATACCTGACCATCTTGATAGATTGCATTCATGTCACTTTCTTTTGGAATGATGTGTTAATTAAATGTCCTCTCCCATACGTCTCTACACTGTTACACATAACAACGTCTTTCTTTACTATTTTCCCATCTTCCACCTTGTCACGCTATTCTTCTGTTTAACTCTCCTCTGCTTGCATTTCCCTCCTTTCACCAGGTTAATGTGACCAGGGAAGACGTGCCCAATGGAGAGCCTGTCTACCTGCGCAGCCTGGGAAAAGGAGACTGGTTTGGAGAGAAAGCATTGCAAGGGTAAGATTGTTCCTAATAACACTGCCTCTTCCAATTTACATCTTCTGTTCTTCCACAGTTTCCGTCTCATTCGCTGTCACCCACTTCCCTTCTAATTTTCTTTCGCAACCTTTCTCTAATATCCTCTCCCTTGTACTAAACGTGCATCTTTCCTTTGTAATTTTCTATCAATCAGCCTCCAGATCTTGTCTGTCCCTTTTTTTTCAGCAACTCACTATGAAAGGCGTGATGACATGTTAAGTGTTTGGAAATGCTTAATGCCAGACACACATAACAGAACTTCTGGCCTGATTTACTGTAGCTGTTGCAGACACATTTTTTAGATTTGACTCAATATCTTTTACTGAATCATAGAAAATCTGTTAAATCTGATGTGATCAGAAAGTCATATGAATCCAGATGTTTTTTTATCAGTTTCAATTTTTTTCAGCAACGGAAATATGTTGAGATCAATTTTCAGCAGCACACATTTTTAACTGATTGGTTATTGAATCATATTTCTATGTTATATATACATGTAGACGTCGAGAATATCTAAAAATGCAGTTATTTGACCTCAAACCACCTTTGCAGAAAACACAAATGAGGGCACAGACAATAACTTAGGCATACTCCTCTATATTAAGCCATATTTTAGTCCGAATCAAAATAATTTCATTTCATTGTAAAAACTTACAATGGAGATCCCTCTTATCCCACCAATTCACAGCCTGTCTTTGCACACAGCTATATCACACAGAAACTACGGGGAATAAGTTATTAATTTGAGTGGATTTGGAGCTTGACAGTCGTACAGTGGCCTCAGTTGGAGATTAATTTCATTTATACAATGTTATCTATAGAATCTTTTGTCTTTTTCTCCTACTTCCTGTCTTGGTTGCCAAGCTTTGTGATATCAAGGACATCTTCATGCTGTCCTTGACTGCTATAATGGAGTTGCACCCTCTTTTATGAATATTTGGCTGATGCCAAATAAAGATGCGATATGCAGATATAAGCCAAGCATGAATAGTCCTCAGTATTACAAACATATATATAATATTAAAGGCTGTGCCAGGAAAATATGTGAAGATGTACGATGAAGGCCACAAGGCTCAAGCGTTGGAATGTTTGTTTGGCTTGAATGCATCGAGATTAATCTGCTTTGTCCTAAAGATCTGTGTGTCCAACCATTTTACATTTGGGTATTCAACAATGTACTGAGGGGAGTTTGGAGTAACCACACTGTAGGGCATACTGTAGGGATCAGATGACATGGCTATGGCTAACATTCAGTTCACAGCGCTCAAATACTTTCACTGAAAGAACACTTCAGTGTTACAAAGATATTTTGTATGGCTTACGGCATCAAAGCCCAGTGTCCTAAAGGGATTCTCACTTAGCTGTCATGACTGTACACCTCCCTGAACCATGTGTCATTAGAATAGAGGGAGGGAAGAGATACAAAAGTGTGTTATGTCTGTAAGGGCTCAGGTAGAAACAGAGAACATAGGCTCTCACGAGAGATCGTTTGCAAGCATATAGCCAACAGTGTCAACATCAGAGATGGAGATGTCGCCATCTTGTGGTCACTGAATGTAAAAACTGGGTAAAGCCCTTGACAAAAGCACATACAAAAACAAATGGTATACACTTTAGAATGCCAAGATACTTTCATTGATTCAAAGCAGTGTCCTGCAGAAATAAATGACACCTTTTTGTTGTCAAAACACACCATAAATCTTTGTTTTTACTTTCAAAAGGAGGACTCAGGATGCTAGATTTGATGTTCAGGCGACAGCTGGACTTTCACAGATGGTTGGGTCCCCCCATATGTTGAAGCTAATGACCAATAGGATATAAAAGATGACTGAGCATTAATATGCATGCAGAACATGTGAGGCACAGGAAGCTTGATCTCTTGGCAGTGGGAGGAGCAGGTTGTTCCAAATATAAATCTGATCCTTTTACACTAATGAGACGTAGAAAACGTGCTGTTTGATGAATGACAGCACCCTAATTTATAATGGATGGAACAGCTGTGCTACTTATGTGTCTCGCTATCAGAATTTTCCCGGGAGTGACTTCTTAAAACGAGTGCTACTTTAGTGCAACTTAAAAGGAAGAAGGATCATTTTTTGATATGCACATACACACATGATAAATCATACATATCCTTAAATGTATCACAATAGTTACATTAATACCTTTGAAGTGTTTCCCTTAATAATAGTGTGCAGTTTTGAATAGCTCTTCAAAGCACCTTGAGGAGCATCTCATGCTTTGTTTAATCAAGAGAACCACATCTTTTCTACATCACTAAAACAAAGTGCTCTCCCAACCTCAGCATCTGCTTAGTATTATTATCATGTTTTTCGTCTGCTCGCCTTTTGTCTTGGAGTGTCTTGAGCAAGAGAAGCATATTCAACTACACCTTTGATGGTCAAGCATGTCTCATACATTTACATGATTGATATGCTGGCCATCTTGGACCCAGGCTTTTGATCATAGGGCAGATCTGCAGGGCTATATTTGTAATCAGAAGTTAACTGTGTGGCTCAATAGACTACTCATACACTGCTCTGTGCATCTCCAGGCGTTGCCTTTGATCTGTTAGAACAACATGTTTACAAATCAAAGTCTGTTCTCCTTCCAGCCATAATGTTTTGTTCGAGCTTGTGTGAGTGCTGTTGTGTGATGTGTGTACATAAAAGCAGCTGATGAAATATCAGATTACATGGTTTTTCTAAAGGGTTAGCGCTTTATGAATGCTTCAGTGCAGTTGGTAGATGTTCCAGGAAAATATAAACCTACAACATATCTCATGACACATTCTACTTGTCATGGTGAAGTGTGAACTTCCAGTCGAGGTGTACACTAGATCCATCTATAGCACAGACAATGTGTGACCTCCTCTCCCGGGGGCATGTTCCAGGAAGTCATGATAGATTGGTATTAAACACAACATTGAACTGTGACGTCACTGAATGCAATGAAATTTGTGTCAGTGTTAGATCACTTTCAGACCAACAATAGCCCTCTGAAATGTCACCCTTAGAGACAATGTTGCTGTGGGCATGTTGCCACAGGTACAAGTGAGAAGATGAACAAACTAGCCAACCGAGAAGGTTTAGAAGATATCAACACTGCACAGCATTTTTCACTGCTTTGTGGTTGTGTTTCACAAATCCGAAAAAGTGATCACAGCACCTTAAGTTTTGTCAGCTTATGTCCAGTTTCTACAGTAGGACTTGTTATTTAAACAGTTTAATTTACAGGCTGCCTCCAAGATGTTAGCCTGCCAGCAACATGGCCTCATTTCAGTCCATCAATTTTGTCCAGACTCAAATAACCTAACAACGAATTCCCCTAACATTTGGCACAGACATTCATGGTTCTAAGATAATGTGTCCTAAGGACTTGAGTGATCCCCTGGCTTTGGAATTATTGGATGGATAGCCATGAAATCTGTTGCAACAATTCATGTAACCCCTCAATTCACTTAAATTCAATACAATTCAAAACCTTTATTTATCCAGGTAAAATCCCATTGAGATCAATGATCTCTTTTTCAAGGGAGACCTGCAGCAGTAGGTTCCACAAGAAGACATAAAAACATAAACAACAGAACAACAAAGGACATCATACAGCAAAATGTACAGGGATTACAATTTACATATTTAACCACATGTACAGGTACCAACAGCATCTGATTTTGTAGCATCCAACCGAGCTTTAAAAACATGTAGTGGTACTAGCTTGGTAATTTTCCATTCTTTTTGCAGACTGTTCCATGTTAGTGGAGCTGCACATCTAAAAGCTTTCTTCCCTAAGACAGTCCTAGCACTTGGCACATTTAATAAAACCACAGCATGCGATCTCAGGCAATAAGTACTTTCAATTCGCAGAGAGATCAGGGAGCAGATATAAGATGGTAGTTTATCCAACATGGCTTTGTAAATGAAAATGTACCAGTGACTGAGTCTCCGTACAGTAAGTGATGGCATAACCGCCTTGGTATACAGGGTACAGTGATGCGTAAGTGCTTTACAATTTGTCAAAAATCTCAGTGCACTGTGATACGCAGCATCTAACTTGCTCAGGTAATTGGCAGGTGCATTCATATATAACAAATCACCATAATCCAGCACAGGTAAAAAGGTCACAGTGACTAGCCTTTTCCTGGCCTCAAGCGAGAAACAGGACTTATTTCTGTAAAAGAAACCTAGCCTAACCCTCAGCTTTTTAAGCAGGTTATTGACATGAAGTTTAAAAGTGAGACAGTCATCAAGCCAGATACCCAAGTATTTGTAACAGGTAACCACTTCAAGTTGTATTCCTTGCGTAGTTACAATATCCAAAGCAGTCTCTGGTGTATTTTTAGCTTTAGCTTTCGAAAAGTGCATTACCTTGGTTTTATCCACATTTAAAAGAAGCTTAAGCTCAGAGAGCTGAGCCTGAATAATGTTAAAAATAGCCTGTAATTTAACAACAGCCTCGTTAATCGAGGGACCTGCACAGTACATAACGGTATCGTCCGCATACAAATGTAATGTTGCTCCTTCGACATTTTCACCTAAACTATTAATATAGATAGAGAATAATAGCGGACCTAAAACTGAACCTTGTGGTACACCATTAGTGATGTTTAACCACTCAGAAGACAGCCCATCAAACTGAACACATTGGGACCTTTCAGAGAGGTAGTTTACAAACCACCCTACTGCATGGCTGAACATGCCTATACTGACCAGCCTTTGCTTCAAAATGCGATGATCGACAGTATCAAAAGCTTTGGATAGGTCAACAAATAGAGCTGCACAACTCTGCTTACTATCTAAAATACTCGTAATATCATTTACCACTTTCATTTTGGCAGTGATGGTGCTATGTTGCTTTCTGAAGCCTGACTGATGTTTAGACAGGATGTCATTGTTACATAAAAACACCTTTACCTGTTCACTCACTAGGCGTTCAAGAACCTTGGCCAGAACTGACAATTTAGAGATGGGTCTATAATT